TGTACATAATACATCTTAGTGATACCTGTGCGGCATACATCTATGTGATACCATTATATCATATATCTTTGTGATACTTCATACAATATGGCTCACACTGAAAGGTTCTTCCTTTCTATAAATTATTGTTTCGTGTAATGAAACTTAAATGGTGAGTGAGTGAGTTTAGTTTTATGCTGCACTCAGCAATATGGCGGCGGTCTGTAAATAATCGAGTCTGGACCAGACAATCCAGTGATCAACATTATATGTGTATATATCATGAGCATCGATCTGCGCAATTGGAAACCGATGACATGTGTCCACCAAGCGAGCGAGCCTGACCACCCGATCTCGGAAACACAAATGGAATTAGGCGGGATATGGTGTTAGTTGTAACAATTGTAACAATACTTTATTGAAACATGTCAGATAAGTAATTGGTCACATTCTGCTAAAGGCACATTCTACTGAAATGAAAACGAAGATTTTACTGTGTTCTAAAAGAAGTACATCATTGAGTATGTTTTTAAAGAGAAACTAATAAGGTTCATGAACATGGAACTCCTTTGAAAGGATATTTTTATCAGGTCGTACTGCCCCTTTTCATTTGAGTAAGAGCCATTGAATGTTTGATTGTACAGTTATAATACTTGACAGAAGTAAATACTCCCCACCGTACTGTGATGTTTCTAGGAATAGATACATTTTGGGTAGTGTTAAAGAGATTCAGTAACTTAAAACTTAATGTTTCTAAGTATTAATATATTCTTTCTAATATTTAAGGAGGTTAGACTACTAACAGAAAACAAAACAAAAACAGTGTTTTACCAGTATTCCATGTATTGACAAGAAAGTATCAACATCTGTAAGAACATACAGTCAATTTGCCAAAGTAGGGTAACAAGGCAAACATAACAAGAGTGTACATGGAAACAAAACATAAAAATAAAATTAACAATAAATATAAATGTCAACCAGGCTCAGTAAGACACAGGGTAGGTGGCTGCTCCATTCGTACCTTCAGATCGTGAGTTCGAATCCAAGTGTCCTACAGATTATGAGTTTTGGTTGGTCGCTTGTTTTGCCAGCATCTTTGCTGGTGAGTTCATTAAAATAGTAAATGTCGAAGACCTCGTAGAAAATAATAAGGTTCATGAACATGGAACTCCTTTAAAAGGACAATTTTATCAGGTCGTACTGTCCCATTTCATTTGAGTAAGAGCCATGGAACGTTTGATTGTACAGTTATAATACTTGACAGAAGTAAATACCCCCCACCGTACTGTGATGTTTCTAGGAATAGATACATTTTGGTTGTGTCAAAGAGATTAAGTAACTTAAAACTTAATGTTTCTAAGTATTAATATATTCTTTCTAATATTTCTACTCTGTCTTATTGCAAATGCCGTGTTTCTAAGTATTGGACTGCTACTTGTGAAAGGGAACTTGACTGAAAACAGTTTTGCCGTTAGTCGCCGAAACTGTTTCAAATTTTGATTTATGCATAAAGATTCATAGTGACAAAAAAAATGTCCACAAGGCTGTGTGACAAAAGGGATGACTTTAACTTTACAATAGTCAACTTCCCTTTGACGTCGAGCAATATTCAAACAGCTGCCTAGGTGTTTACATTTCACACCTTTTGAGGTACAATCGAGCGTGCTGTTTTTATTAGGATTTCAAAGAGCGTTATACCACTCTTGCTCACAGGTTGTTTGATCAAGGTTACAACATTCAAGGCCCCTGTAAACTTTCAAGAAGTTTTGTTAGACATATGTAGGAAATTTTCAAATAAAATGCATCATTGCCAAAATGATGTCCCTTGCAATTCTCTATTTTGACTTCTACCTTACGTTTACGAATTATTTCAGGTGAATGTTTGACTAAACTTTGCATGTGTTTATGACGGGTGCCACCGGTGGGACAGGATAGGCTCACATTTTTGCGAACACCTGATATCACCTCTATTTCATAGTGATTCATAAACACATGCTCTGTCATCGTATCGCATAGTGACAATCATTGTTTTTAAACATCATACAGCTGTAATACTGCTGAAATTAATATCTGCTGATGATATAATCACCATTGTACAATCGACTCTGCTTTTTGCACAGATTTCTTATGAATGTGGAAAGGGTTTTTGTCACTTGCATTTCAGCATGAATGAAACAAATTAACTACACATACGAGTGTTGTTTCATGGAAGCAGGATATTGTCCTTCGTCGACAGGTTTATATAAATATACATCTATTCCATTTCAATGTCACATATGTTCTCGTCACGATATGGCTGTAATATTGCCGATGTGACGTTAAATAATAACTCACTCACTCACTCATGGAAGCAGGACTTATGTAAAGAATCATTATGACATGATATCTTTGGCAGCACAACCCTGTCATTGTCGGTTTCTGCGGAAATAAGGTCAATCAGGAAGAACTTAAACACTGTAGCCTAAGTTGAAGCGAAACATACCATTAGATATTATTTACAAAAATGATCTGTGTAAACATAGGCCAAAGAGACCTCTCCACAAGACTTCATGGCAAGAGGGATGACCTTTACTTTCCAAAAGTCAACTTCCCATTGAATATCCAGAGTGTCATACGATCAAGGTTACAGCGTGCGATGTAACAGTAAGACTTTCAAAGTGTTTTGTGATTGGCATTTGGGGAACAATTTACAGTTTTAAGCATCATTGTTAAATATGTCAAATGGAATTCTCTATTTCATATTAGTCGATATGTTCCTATGGGTTTTTTCCGTGTATTTATGACGTGTGCCACCGATTGGGAGAGGAAGGCTCACCATCTCTTGTATCGTTGATATTGATATATAACCAATTTCTATGATATGATCGTGCAGTGGTGATTACTTAACAGTATGGAAGTAATTTAGCTTTTTAACTTTGTGTATTTTAAGACACTATTAACTTTGATCACATTTATACGTTGATGACTAAACATTTACAATAATTATGATGGACTACATGGCCTAAAGAAGTATTCGGCAAACGCCTTGCAAAGTGAGATCAGGGGAGAGGGTCTTCTTTCAGTGGATATCCTGTTCAAAAGGAGGTTAGACTACTAACAGAAAACAAAACAAAAACAGTGTTTTACCAGTATTCCATGTATTGACAAGAAAGTATCAACATCTGTAAGAACATACAGTCAATTTGCCAAAGTAGGGTAACAAGGCAAACATAACAAGAGTGTACATGGAAACAAAACATAAAAATAAAATTAACAATAAATATAAATGTCAACCAGGCTCAGTAAGACACAGGGTAGGTGGCTGCTCCATTCGTACCTTCAGATCGTGAGTTCGAATCAAGTGTCCTACAGATTATGAGTTTTGGTTGGTCGCTTGTTTTGCCAGCATCTTTGCTGGTGAGTTCATTAAAATAGTAAATGTCGAAGACCTCGTAGAAAATAATAAGGTTCATGAACATGGAACTCCTTTAAAAGGACAATTTTATCAGGTCGTACTGTCCCATTTCATTTGAGTAAGAGCCATGGAATGTTTGATTGTACAGTTATAATACTTGACAGAAGTAAATACCCCCCACCGTACTGTGATGTTTCTAGGAATAGATACATTTTGGTTGTGTCAAAGAGATTAAGTAACTTAAAACTTAATGTTTCTAAGTATTAATATATTCTTTCTAATATTTCTACTCTGTCTTATTGCAAATGCCGTGTTTCTAAGTATTGGACTGCTACTTGTGAAAGGGAACTTGACTGAAAACAGTTTTGCCGTTAGTCGCCGAAACTGTTTCAAATTTTGATTTATGCATAAAGATTCAGAGTGACAAAAAGGCTGTATCACAAAAGGGATGACTTTAACTTTACAATAGTCAACTTCCCTTTGACGTCGAGCAATATTCAAACAGCTTTGGTGTTTACATTTCACAACTTTTGAGGTTCAATCGAGCGTGCTGTTTTTATTAGGATAAGAGTGTTATACCACTCTTGCTCACAGGTTGTTTGATCAGCTAACTGAAATACTGTTCAAAGCGGTATTGAGCCCAAATCACACGATGATCCATTAAAACGAGTGTAGTCCACGTGTATGCAGTTGACATAACTGTGCATTCCAGGTACATCTGCGCCAAGTCATGCCATGTCGCCATGTTCCTTCAAAATAATAAAAAAGAACTTCTTCACACAATAATATATTTCCGATAACATGAACTTTCAGTTTACCTGTTGAAGTTTGTTCCAATATAATGCTGCCCAAAATAGTTTTGTACATTTCAAGAACATGTGCATTTCTTGCAATAATTTTGCTATTTTTTCCAAATGACTGATTTGACTTTTACACTGCTTTAAACAACATATCAATTTTATCAGGGTATGTGTGCTTAATCCAAGAGGAAAGCCTCGATGCAGGTTGTAAAATGTCAGCATAGATACTATCCTGGAAGAAGATGTTTCACATACAACGAACTTAAGGAAAAACTTCCTTGCTTTGTCGCTTGGGCAATGTGACAATGGTCACATTGGTTAATTCAGTGACCACAGATATAGTGACATATGCATCTCTAGACGTTCAGGACAATTTGTTAAAAATGTGCCAGTGACAATAACGACGTCCGATGCATTTACGTATTTCTACTTGTACCATATGTACCGTTGCTATTTTCCAGATTGCCTGGACTTCCTCTGCTTCTATACGTCTGTTTGGCAGCCCCGGATTGGCTCAATTTATTCCTTACTGATATTGTCTGCATATTACATAACGTACACATTTAGCTCCAACTGTTGAATGCGTTGCATTCTTTTCTGTTGACCACCTCCAAGAAGCGACTTTGTAACAAAACATAGTTTTGAACAGAATGGGTAAAACTTTAAGTCGCCAAACTACATTATTTCAGGGTATGTGACAAAAATAGAATTATAATGTGCTTCTTCAAACTGATCAGTTTGTGTTTCTGGGAATGAAAATGAATGATGGCTACACGTTTCGATAAATAATTTGTACCAGGAGTGGATCCACATCTTCCAGTTTTTGGTCTTGCATGACTCTGTGCATCAACATCACGAAGAACCCGATCCTAGAGGGCAAAAGATTGTGTACAGCTGTACAGTATGATCAGCTTCAAATGTGTTTATATTACAATATGTTTGTAAATCCAAACCATACAAGTACATATCATGTTGAAGGAACAATGTTAATACACTTAATATTCTGGAATAAACGGTACATGATTTCAAGACCTGTAACATTACTTGAACTAACTGAAAACAGTTTAAAGTTTCCTTAATACGTGGCTTGTGTGATTTGTAACACAGATATATTTTTAACAATTTATCCATAGTACAATAGGAACATACTTACGTGTTTGTACATTTTCTAATAACATACAAAAGAAGGCTAAAATCACAAAACTCCATTTATTGTTCAATTCGTAATGTAAGGATATATAAGCATAATTCAATAATACATTTGTTTTGAGCACAGTACATTCAAAATGTCAAAACACCTCAAGAGCATATTAAAAGCAAATAAACCAATGTAAAAAGCCAAAGAAGCACCGACACGATTCACAATGCGCAATGTTTCCAAGGGTGGAAACAAATCTGAACATGTGCATAGGAATGGATAAGTATTACATACCCTGTTTGGTGACTGCCGTCTCGTCACCGCGCTGCTGCTGTAGAGACTCGGGTTAAATCAACACTTACCTTGGTCCGTTTGTGATCCGCGACTCGTTTCTTCGCTCCACACCAATCATACATGTCCATTCACTGAATCATTGTTTCATTCATACAATGATGCTTGCTTACGGTCGTTCCACATCTCTCCACATATTCATCCATCCATCCATCCATCTGCCCTTCCTTCCATCTATTCACCTATTTATCATAACATATTATATTATTATTATTATAACCATCTGAAATGTACAGCTTAACAATGATAACATTCATAACTGTTAATGAAGTAACATCATTTCAATTGAGTCTTTGAATTTAGCAGGGATACACCTTAAGGCAAGAATCTTATGGATGTCAGCTTCTTTATGTGATAGACACGACGTTATATCTGATGATGGAGTAAGAATATACTTCGAAACGTCTTGTCCATTACAATTAAGAAGTTGACATCCATACAATTCTTGCCTTTGTCATTTTGATTGTGTCATTTTTCTCCGATAAATTAAATATTAAAGTAATATGCTACTGTTCACGTTAGAGTACAAGATTACAAGAACAGAATTGAAGTGTTATACGTGTGTTTTACCTTCTAAATTATCTTCTTTCTCATAGTGAATGAGAAAACTTGAACCATAACGACCAGCGAATCGTATGGTGAAATCATTCTGTGACAAATCTGAAAGAGGAAAAAATTCATCTTGAAATGAGGTCGATTTTGACATACCGTAGTTTAAGATTCATATAAATATAATGTTGTCAGTGCCAAAATGGGAAATATTGGGATCAATCCATTCTGCCTAACCTTGCAACGACGTCGGAAGTCATTCAACCCAAAATTAGAAGAATTTGCTGTTCAATGCCATGTTTATGACGAGTGCAGGTACAGAAAAAGTTCATCACTTTGCGAACAGCTGGTATCATCACTAATTCATAGTTATATCATCGTATGACACTTTATCAGTCACTGGATCATCTGCCCAACACTCAGTTGTTTACAGACCCGTGAAGGTCCGGGTTAGAATGAACCTTCAGTAACCCATTCTTGTCGTAAGAGGCGACTAACGGGATCGGGTGGTCAGGCTCTCTGGCTTGGTTGACACATGTCATCGATTCCCAATTGCGCAGATCAATGCTCATGCTGTTGATCACTGGAATGTCTGGTCCAGACTCGATTATTTACAGACCGCCGCCATATAGCTGGAATTTTGCTGAGTGTGGCGTAAAACTAAACTTACTCACTCAATTGTATACAGACAGCGTCACACAACTGTAATACTGCAAACTATTATAATATACATATGTTAAAAAATCACTAGTAAATGGCTAAAGGGCAGCACAGAGTGACCTACCGGTGGCACCTGCCATATACACAATCAAAGGTTAGTCAGCTGGTCGCCTAAAAAAATCGGAAACGTTGGGCACAAGTCAAAATAGAGAACTGCATCGGACAACTTTTGCGCCCAGTTTGGAAATAATCTCCTCATTTGTAAAACATTTTGAAAGATTTACTGAGGACTTGAAAGTTGTAACCTTGATCACACAACTTCTAAGCAAGATTCTTATGGTGGACACTCTTTGAAATCTTGGTTAAAAGAGCATGCTCGATTGTACCTCAAAAGCTGTGTTAGAGTATCCTGCTGCCAGCTTGTTGCTTTGATATGTCTCGAAATGCAACAGTCCCCCCTTTTTCTGAATGTTACATTACGAACACCCTGTTAATTCATTTTAAGTTTCTATATATTCCAGTATTTCGAGACAGTATCCAGTTTGATGTGCCATCATGACATGGTGCTTGATATACTAATTATGTCATTCGCAAACAGCTACGTCTGAAGTATTAGGAAATGATTAGACTCCGTGTACTCCAAAAAGTGACCTTTCATTCTATGGTGCAAATACACACCAAAACGTACAATGAAGCTATATCTATATAACTTTGTTTGTTGTCAAATGCCGCAATAAACATGTTACCATGTTGAATTATACATTTTCGTGTTTAGACAAGACAATTCAGGGACCAGCATCAAGCAGATCAGCGAGCCTTACCACCCGATCCTGTTAGTCTTTTACGACAAGCATGAGATGTTGGAGACTAATTCTAACCCAGGTCCTCACTGATGGCAAGGTATGAAGCCAGTAACAACACAATGTTGTGATGATGTGGCGGGATAACAATCTTCTCTAACAGTGTTATCACTAAATGTGATCTGTACGAGTGGGATAATGATTGGCTACATGGATAACATGTTAATGTGGGGCACATACACCATCCACAAAGGACATGTGTACTACATGCATGTACGGCGGATGACGATACTTACATGTCCTGTTGTACGTTCCAGGGTAACACAGATCCTCGTACTGTTCAGTGTCAGTTTGCTATAGTAACACGAACCTGAAGAATATGTAGTGAGCGCGATATCTATAGTGATTTTCTGTGGAATGAAATTGCCGACGATGATGTAGGTGGCATCATAAGAACTTGTATATGTCCCTGGAAATGATGGCCCGATTAACTGCCCACTATTTGTGTTGTACGTCAGTGTATTGTTGACCTCATCTGAAACAACAGAGTAAATGCTAGATGATAGGCGATTATAATTTGAAAGTATAGCTTTTGCCTACTGAGCCATGGTTAAACATTGCAGGAAATACTGCATATAAAGGCAAATGTTTCTTGTAATGTCTGCTAGCTAAAGGTGATATTGATAATCAGTTCCTAGAAAACGTAGTTTCAAACACAAGCTCTACCTTGAACAGCGTAGTTGACAACGAAGCCACCACAGGTGTCCACAGATCGATCCCCACCATGTATCACGATATCGACACTACCGAAAAATGCATCTGAAACAGGAAAAGATTGGATTAAGTATAGCTGCTCCTCGCATCTTACAGATAATGTCTGATACATGAATTCCGTCTCAGTAGAATATATAGTCATCTTTTGAAATGATTTTAAAACAAAAATGTTACTGTTACCACTATACAAAATGTGTGCCCGCATGAGTTCCTCGGCTTTTTTTACCATTGCCAGGATATCAGTGTGAACAATGAAGGTGAACATATTTGGTGTTGTTCTGAGTGATTTGCAATAATATCTCTTAAACACTCGTAAACCACTATCTAATCATTGACTACTAAGGGAACAATATGAAACATGAATCACCACTCTACACAGATGGCAGAGTGCTTTCTATTATTTGATATATGTGCTCCATTGTTTGATACATCTAGAAATTGGAGAGGTCCGTACAATTGGAAATTTTGGTACTTAACAATCCGTTTTCCGTATATTGTTAAACCACTAGCATCCATATCTATTCATTTTGTTTAAAAAACATTATATATTAAGGTTTCGGAAAATTATACTGAGAACATCAATGTTTCAGCTTACAAGTAGTTTTGACAGAGAGCATCAATGTTTCAGCTTACAAGTAGTTTTGAAGGGCTTTGCGGTGCATATTTGTGGTCCGTCATCTATGGTTAACCATCCGATGTCACAGTTAGCGCTGTTTGTGAAGTTGAGAGAGACGAAGTTCAGAATTAGTGTTTGCAACTTCCCGCTGCCTATGATAGTGTTGGTGCAGTTGCTGTAGGTGCAATTGCAGGAGGAACATGGCGTCGATATCTGGCCAGATGTCTTCAAGTGGGTAGAAGTGCAGTTGTCTGCAACATGAGATTAGATTATGACCCTCATCAATCATTCTACAACACATCAGTCCCCGACCCCACGCCATTACAGACAACGTCAGTTATTCACAGTATTGACGTCAGGAACAACAGATTACAATGGGGAAGATGACAATAATATAATAATATACATGACATAGGTGTTTTCTTTAAGTTTTCTTAATCGTCATACATGTCAGCCAATCCCTGGGGCCAAAATGAAAAGGGTTACGTTGTTGAAACCTCACGCAAGAATTATGGTTAGCGATACACTTGAAGGTACATGTACTTCTACCCACATATGTAATCTGTGTTTCTTTGGCGTCAATACTGTGGATAACTGACGTTATTACCATTACTACATTACTAGCATTACTACGACAGATAATTATCTTTTTTCAAACAGTACCGGTTGTTTGACTCACAAACACGTCAAAAGTGAACCCAGCAATGTTTCACGTTAATCCCGAAATATATTTGTCTCATGATCTGACTCGAAAATGAAAAGACAAAATCAACACGAATGTAGGAATGAGTCTTTACCGGAAGTGTTGAAGGTTAGTTTCTCTCTTTCATATAGTAAAAATACTTTAGTTATGAGGTTGGTATCTTCAGTCATTTGATTTCTTTGCTCATTAAGGGATTCCACAAACAAATCATCTAATACAGAGAATGGTTTTGGACATAATTATTTCATTGCAGCTCTTCTTTTCGTCAATAACAGCCCAATAGCATTTAGAAAATTCAAAAGGCAAAACTCGAGGATATACACAGTTGATAATGTAGAAATGTTTATTTATATATGTATTTACTGTTAAATAAAAGACACAAATGCGCAATTGTTATGAAGAATAAGAAAGACGATGACCGATCATAACGAATCAATAATGCCTAATAATCACATAGCGTACCGTTTGCATCCATGCCGACAAAGTAATGCATCTTAAACCCTCTACTTCTGGTGTCGTAATCAGTTCTGAACTTGATGATGAATCTGTCCTGAAAGGCATCTGAAATAAAAACAGTGTTGTTACAATGATCACTGAAAGAGTTGTATCATCATTGTTAGATTACATAAAACTGGTAATAACTGGACGTTCTTTCTTCTTTTAACACAGACGCTTCCTTGAGAAAAAGTAAGTGGAGATGAAAAAAACGTCTTCGATTTCTTTTCACACGTGCCAGTCAAAGACTTAAAGTAATCATAGAGACACAAACATAGACGGGCCAAACAAGCATATCATACAGACAGATTACACAACCCTTTTTCACAGTCGGATTTCATTGAGATATATGAGTCACTCAGACGGATCAAACAATCAAGGATCATGCACTTAATGGACACACACTTGTTGTTTCATCTAGATATATAAGCTTACATGTTTTATGGAACGTTGTGGGGGAGCACAGCTGAGGACCATCGCCTATAATGAGCCAGTCGTTGCTACAGCCTGAAACCTCATGAAGATCCATCTCCAACAGGTCAATTGTTATGCTCTGTGTGTGCCCATCACCCACGATGACGTACGAGCAGCTGAGGTAGTTGGTATGTATTCCAGGGTAGCCAGGACTGGTGATCTCACCCTCATTGGCGGTCAACGTCGTCGTGCAGTTGTCTGACAATGACAGAAAACAGGCTTGGGATCACTTGTGGTCTCAATAATGCTTTATTATTCTTGACTCACAGAAACACGAGTTGTCCAAAATTTGCATTTCTAACACAGAGTATTCATAGTCATTTGAAACATTGATTTACTAAGGTATAATGCCTTGAGTCACTTTTTTTAAATGTTTGGTTTTCATAATGATTCGATAATCTACTGGACGATCTTCAGGTCCATGACAATTAATTATCATTTTACACATTCTGCATTTATTTGATTGGTATTCAAGCCCCATAGATGAACTTGTAACCTCATATAATAATATCAGAACGCTATAATATCAGAAAGCATGCTTTACAGTTCGGGTTTCAACACACTAATTGTTTTGACTGCCAACAAAACAGTGCCGGTGGTTGTACTCAAAACCTTTAAAATTGAACACTACACTAGCGAAAGTTCAATTTTAGATATAGCTGCTATATGAATAGAATTGAAACCTACATCTTTATGCCCTAATCCTTCAGAATGCAAACATATAATAGTATGACATAATCCCGGTATGTATAGCCTGCCATTTGTCCTATTTTCGTGGCACGTTTCATTTGCAGGGGCATCAAAGTAATAATATATTGGCAACAGAAAAGACAATAAATTATCATTACGGATAGATATGACTATTACGGCACCAAAGACTAGGTACTCTTGTCAATATAACATCGTATCTGTCTGAAAACGTATTCTACATAAACACATCGTAGGAGCGGTGAACGTTAGGAAATATTTCATAACAGCAAGTGAACGATTCACACGAGAGGTGAGCAGGTTTCACTTTATAGGTGTAAGAAAATTGTCAATAATCTATATTTTTATAGGTCACATTGTCCCCAAAATTCATGGTGTAAAATCGAAGACACATGTTCCACCAAAAATCGTTCCCTTCCGTCATTATACTAACAAATCTATCTCTTTTAAAAACTCAATGATTAAATAATAAATAATATTATTAAAAAGGTCCTTTACTGTTTTAATATTGAAATATTTATCCCTTATGATCGAGAATTCAACACAGTCAAGCAGTCTAGCTTCGGTTACGTTTCCGTAAAGATGCATAAACATATCAAAGTTTGATTGATTTAGCTCTATTTGACTGAAATACGGATGTCTCTATATGGTTTCTCAGTGAATACTGTACTTTCGGGCAGTACAGCACACCTTGTCGCTGGAAACTTTATTGAATAACCACAGTAAAGCGTTCAGTGTGTATATTAAAGTTCGACATGAAATCGTTCACCATGATGTTCTAAATCGTTCACTAACAGTTTGATGGTGTGGATCTTTCGAGGATGAAAGCTGGAAAACGGCACAACACTATGCATTCAAATTTTGTACAAACAAAGTTCCATAGTTACTCTAAATGTCGGTGTATTTTGTTTTTCGTCTCTACGGAAATGATACCTTAAACTTTGGTATGTTTATGCATCTTTACGGAAACTTAACCGAAGCTAGAAGTTGTTTTAAAGGCTCATGTGCTAGTATAATGACGGAATGGAAAGATATTTGGTAGAATTGCGCACACGTGTCTTCTATTTTACAGCATGAATTTTGGGGACAATGTGTCCTATAAAAATACAAATATTGACAAATTTCCCACACCAAAAAATCAACCTGCTCACCTCTCGTGTGATAAATCGTCCACTTCCTGCTATGAAATATTTCCTACCGTTCACTGCTCCTTCGGTGTGATAAAGTAATTTTCTAAGTTAGTATTCAGTTTGTTAGCTATGAAAATGACACTACTTTATCATTTACTGGGAATGGGAAATATACACACACAAACATAGTCGGAATTTTACAAACGACTCTGTATGGGCAGATATTTCTTATGGACATGGAAATGGTTTTAACGCGTTTACTTACAGGAAGTTGTTGAAAGCACGTCAACAAGAATTACCTTCAACGGCGTAGTTGACAACAAAGCCACCATAAGAGTTCACACCACCATGGGTCACGATATCTACACTGCCAAAAAATGCATCTGAAACAGAATTTTCGGTTAATATATTTCTACCTGATATAATTGAGTAAAAAGGTCTCTACACAAATCACATCTTAATAGGACAGAAAAGCTCATTTGAAATGGTCAGAGAGAACATTAACACACTTATACAATGTACAGTTACATACGGCTATTTATTTCTCATAAAATTGGTCCTCGTTAGAGTAGACTGTTTGGAGGAATAGATGGTATTTCTATTTGTAAATGAGGGGCGGTGGGGTAGCCTAGTGGTTAAAGCGTTGGCTCGTCACGCCGAAGACCCGGGTTCGATTCCCCACATGGGCACAAAGTGTGAAGCTCATTTCTGGTGTACCCCGCCGCGATATTGCTGGAATATTGCTAAAAGCGGCGTAAAACCATACTCACTCACTCACTATTTGTAAATGATAGGTCTCATACAATGAGTGGAAGATAAAGCCAATGGATTAAGACCATATCCGTTGAGTTTACACTCCAATGGATACGGGCTTGTGAGAAGTCAGGAAGGTTCTACTTTCAGTGTTCGCAAATAACATATCGGTATCAATCTTTATCTCTGACAGAATTAACCGTCCACATCGTTTTCACAATCATGTCATTCTGTGACAAATACATTTTACGTCTCACTGGCTTGAGCTGCTTTGTCATACACATATTTAATACATCTCTTTCTGCATACAAATTGAATCTTGGTATTTTTAAAACCAAATGAATACAATGAAAATGTTGCCAGTAACCATTGTGCATAATACCTTCAGAACAGTCATGCCCCATTATGTTTTCGTATAACAGATCTATCAAAATATATACAACCACAGTGGTTCAGCTTACGGGTTGTTTTATAGGGTGTTGAGGTGCAAATTCTAGGTCCACCATCTATGGTTAACCACCCAGTATCACAGTCAGCGCTAGTCGTGAAGTTGAGAGAGACGAAGTCCAGGGTTAGTGTTTGCAACTTCCCACTGCCTATGATGGTGTTGGTGCAGTTGTTGTAGGTGCAGTTGCAGGAGGAACATGGCGTCGATATTTGTCCAGATGTCTTTGTGTGGATGGAAGTGTCTGCAACATAAGGGTGAACATAAGCTAGTCATCTTCCATTCTCTGAGTAAAAGAATTACCGTAAACATCTGTTATTCACTGTATCGAGGTCTAAGAAAAACGATCGTTTGCAATAGAGTGAGTGTTTGAGTTAAAGGTTTTAAGTCACATCGGCAATATTTCAGCCATATCGTGACTAAATCAAGTTATAAATATATTAACAATTAAAGGTAAATTATAAAATTATGCCATCGGAGTACAGTAAAACAACTAGATTATCACAGAAATAAATATGAAACTAGTACATGTATTTGAATCTAAAATATTTTAACTATACATGACAATACAATGTAAAAACAGGCTATAGGTTGCCAACGACTGAAGGTAGATCACCATACTAGGGACCATGGGGACTTACAATACATTTGCTTCCTGCATGGACCCTAGCTGGATTTACACCATCCCCTCAGCCGTTAGCAATGTAGACACATCTAGCCATACATTTAAAAAAAACACATATACTGCGATTAAAAATAGTGGAAAGTTTGAATTTTCTTTGAATGTTTGTGGACTTACGTACCCTCTCAGGAGGACGTTTTCTCTAACAGAGATGACTACATATGACGTAATGATATACAGTTCAGTATGTTTTGTTTCCCTGATCGTCATACATGCTAAAGTCTGTTTGCAGTGAAAACGTACCGATGAATTTCACTTTAAACAAAAAAGTAAATCAAATTTAGTGAAATTAAGATTGCGTATCCTCATATTATTTACCTTGCCAAATGAACATTTAAATCTCAAAATTCTATTCAACTTGTGATTAAAGTTGTTTAATAAACGATCATAGATTCAAATCGCTATTATTGGTTTGTATTACAAGGGGGTAAGCGCAGTAGATGGAACAGTGAAACAAAGGCACGTGCGGTACGTATGAGCGTTAACTTGTGAAATATATTTCGTGAAACAAAAAGTGGAAAAGACTATAGAATGTATACATACTGCTTGAACAGGTTCATATCTAAGTTCAGATCTACTGTCATTTTTCATACAAATATTGGATAAAATGATTGCCATGATGTACCGTTTGCGTCCAGGCCGACAGAGTAATGCAACTTAAAGCCTCTACTGCTGCTGTCGTAATCAGTTCTGAACTTGATGGTCAAACTGTCCTGTAGGACATCTGAAACAAAAGCGTTGTTTTATTCACTTGCACCTGTCCAAAACAGATCACACAGACATATAACAAAGACTGATGACGCAAATAGATCATCTGTTACATGAAATTTTCTCTGTGTATATCGTTGGAAATAGAATCACTGCTTACATGTCTTATGGAACCTTGCGGGGTAGCACAGTTTAAGACCATCGTCTATAATCAGCCAGTCGTAGGAACAGTCGGTACTTCCTTGCAGGTCCATTTTAAGCAGGTCAATGGCGATGAACTGGCTGTGTCCATCACCCACGATGATGTACATGCAGCTGAGGTAGTCGGTGTGGATGCCAGAGTAGCCAGGACTGGTAATCACACCCTGACTTGCGGTCAACGTCGTTGTGCAGTTGTCTGACAATGGGAAAAACAGGACTACGTAGTCATATGATCTAATAGCATTTCTATGTCCAACCCTTAAAATATGTGCTTGCATTTGCTTGTTCTTCCTGCTCGAAAGAGAAACACGTCAGCTGCTATGTGTGTTATAATTCCATTGTCCAGTATCACTTTTACGTTTTCGGTTTGAGCTACTTACATTTCAACTACTCATGTCCGACCAAACAGTACCGGTAGTTGTACTTATATTAATTGTATGCATTATATGTATTCTATGCATTCATAAAGTACTATTTTTGACAGATGAAAAAAGATCTGCTTCTATCGATGGTATATCATATCTTTAACCTTCTTCTTGTGACGCTGTAACGTGTAACATACTGCGCATAAAAGGAATAGTTTAGCATAAGTCCAAACAGTTAAGTACGTTACAATAGATAAAGGTCATGGTAAATACACAAATTTGACAGGTTGACATGATATAGGTACATGCAAGCTGATAATGTGTTTTTTATTGTTGGACCTATCATAAAAGTATGCACAACCATTTGCAAATGCTAATACCATAATCCAGGTAGTAACAAACTTAGTGATAAGTTATTGTCACGTGATTGGAAATTTTACAAAAAGTAAAAGTCCCTGTGGACGCGCTAATAAATTTTGTTGCGTCCATTGTCAATTTTTTATGCGTACAGGACGCACTGATCAACGTTAATGCAACCAATACTCGAACCATGATATCGCAAGTGTCTACGGACACAGTACCTTCACTTTCTTCTTTTTCACAGAATAACTTGTAATGATGTTTTGTTTTCATGTATTTTAAGTATGTCTGCCTTGACACTAGTGCTCTTTTGTTTCCAGAAACAAACAATGCTAATCACTGAAGTTGATTTGGTAGTCGGCTTACGTTATTGCCATAATTATTTTATTTTATGTTCTTGTTTTATTATTTTCATGTAAGGATAAATTGAAATTTTTAAGTCACTGGGCACGTCACATCACTGTCAGCAACTGTTTCATGTAATGTTTATCATATGCTCAGCAAAAGGAAATGTCATTAACGAAATAAAGGATAAGACAACAGTTGATGTGTAACTTAGATTATGTGAGAAAACAGTATTTTGTAAAATCATTTCTTAATTGCGATAGATATCAGGGAATAGGTATTAGATATCTTGTTCCCAATTCCTTGCATTTAAGGAATAAAATATGTTTACATCAAATCAGATCAACTGTTCCAGTGATGTCTCTCCCAGTGTACCGTTTGTAGACATCCCATATTCAAACTTTTCTCATATTTGTAACTTTATCAACACGTGGTAATATATTTGAGATCAAAAGACACTCGGGTGAGATTCTTTCTGTATACCCCACGAATTGCACTATTATCTGTTCTAAAGATATTGTTGCTATAGGCAATAGTTACATGTACTTAGTTCTGTCTGTGTCCGCAATTCACCGCTTCATCATTTGGTGGGAATTAATCAATTCGCTCTCTGCCTCATTCTCTTCATTAAGCTTGACATTGTTATCCAATGTTCTTACCGAAAGTAGGTTTTGAGAGAAAGTACACCAGCTCTACCTTGTACAGCGTAGTTGGCAACAAAGCCTCCAGATCGATCTCCGCCATGCGTCACAATATCCAAACTGCCAAAAAAATGCATCTGAAACAGGAAACGTTGGGTAATTTCATTTCTATCTCAAATTTGATAGAGTTCAATATGACAGGTTTTATATACAAAACCCTTTCCCCATCCATAAGAAATCTCTGCTAAAAGCAGAGTTGATTGTACACATGTGACTATATCATGTGCAGATGTTTGTTTCAGCAGCATTACGGCTGTATGATGTTGTTTGTAAACGAATCGAGTCTGGACCAGACAATCTAAGGACTGTCACCATGCGATACGAAGACAGCATATGTTTATGAATCACTATGAAGTAGTGATGATACTAGGTGTTCGCGAACAGGTGGGGGTATCCGGCCCCACCGGTGGCACCCTTCATAAACATGTGCTATGTAAATCACCGATTTTATGCATTTGTATTAAAGAATCTGTCTATGTAACTGTCAACAAAATAAACAGCAGAACGCAGAAGGCTTGCAGAGGGAGGGAGCCAAAGACCTGTAACAGCGGCAGTGTTGGGTCATAAAGGTCAACGTTCGTCAATGTAGATCAGCTATGCTGATGACCCTGCTGTCAAAAGAATCTAACTTTGGATGCCTACCTTTTTGTACAAGGTTTTGTTTATTGGTTGTTGGTTTATTTTTCACAATTGTTAGCACGATGTTCTCTTTCATGCCAGGAGCAAAAGTTGTACGTTTCATGTAATCCGACACCTTATAAATCGGTTTGCTACGTTTGCTCTCTTTTTAAAAAAACTTAAACACATTGCTAATTAAACTTTTAGCATCATCTGAATAAGCTTTCATGATGACAGCTAGAAGTAGTCAATGTGAATGATCCAAACGGTCTATCACTGTGCAGTGCACAGGTAACTATCATGAACTGCACGTGCATTTACCTTTATGACCCAACACTGCCGCTGTTACAGGTCATTGGCTCCCTCCCTCTGCAAGCCTTCTGCGTTCTGCTGTTTATTTTGTTGACAGTTACATAGACAGATTCTTTAATACAAATGCATAAAATCGGTGATTTACAATGTGATTAGGTTGTCTGACAAAACATCCACTTGCACAGTTTGAGATCGATTGGGTCATTGGATGAAAAGATATTTACAAAAAACCGGGTCCACATGCATTTCATGCCAAACTATAAGTCTAGTCAATTGTTCATCTAAACTAATTCGGGAACGTATGGTATAAGTCAAAATAGGTAATTGCGTCGGACGTCAGTTTTGTCACTGATGCATTTGGAAATGTCCTCCTCATGTCTGACTGACGGACTTTAGTTTTACGCCGCTTTTAGCAATATTCCAGCAACACCACGGCGGGGGACACCTGAAATGGGCTTCACACACATTGTACACATGTGGGGATTCGAGCCCGGGTCTTCGGCGTGACGAGCCAACGCTTTAACAACTAGGCTACCCCACCGTCCCTCCTCATGTCACACTGACGCCTTGAATGTTGTAATCTTGATCAAACAACTCCTGAACAAGAGTGGCATTGCGCTCTTTGAAATCCTGGTAAATAAAGCACGCTCGATTGCACCTCAAAAGTTGTGAAATGTAAACACCAAAGGCTGGAACTGTTGGAATATTGCTCGATATGAAAGGGAAGTTAACAGTGGGAAAGTCAAAATCATCCCTTTTGTTATACAGTCTTGTGGAGAGATTGTTACTCTGAATCTTTATGCAAAGATCTAAATATGACACAGTTGAGGCGGTCTCACTTGTCTCTGTAATTTCAAGTTCAGATGGGTAAATCCGCTTCGACAGCTATTTAAATAAACTTATCCGAGTGTTGCAGTATTTATCAAATGTTCAGTGAGAATGAACACCGGGTCTCTTGACAAATTACTGTGTGAAACCAAGCTGCATTTCATAATGACAGGCCAGTCTCACGAAGATTCAATTTGCTTTCGTTTTTGCTGGAGGGCAATAACTCCAGGGCATAGAAAGTACAGAATATGTAAATGTAATTACGACTTATACGAAGGTACGATCACCATATTGCGGAGATATTTTTGCTTTGCGTAACTGAAAATGAACTGATATATATTAATAGTCGTAATTTGCAAAAGAAACATAGCATGTGGTACTTGAAATGTTCTTAGCCCATTGTTTTTCCGTACCGTAGGATCCTATATTGAGAATAAAAAAGGCGTCCTGATTGTCCCAATGAAAGATATTTTCGATATAGAAGCACATGGGAAATGGGAATACCGAATAACCTTATTCTGAAACTCGCATTTTAAGGCATAATCGTGGTTTTCATACCTCGTACATGATTTTCATGAAGACATTTGTATTACGCATTACACAGGTAACAATATTCAATAGTTTGTGTGCACAGCATGTACAGAGCGTACTAAACACGTTCGTCATATGTTGATGAATACTTGCATAAGAATTTTTAAACAGTCAATTTTGCCTATTTTGTTTTTGAAAATATAATACTGTCCAAACCAATGGCATCTTAAAAAACACTATAGGTCACACATATGTATTGTTTCCTTTCAACAGCCACCTGTGAAACAGAATGCGACATGAATAATATTTTCATAAAAGCAGCTTACAGGTTGTTTTAAATGGAGTTGAGGTGCACAGTTTTGGTCCACCTATCTATGGTAAACCACCCAGCATCACAGTTAGGGCTGGTCGTGAAGTTGAGAGAGACGAAGTCCAGGGTTAGTGTTTGCAACTTCCCGCTGCCTATGATGGTGTTGGTGCAGTTGTTGTAGGTGCAGTTGCAGGAGGAACATGGCGTCGATATCTGGCCAGATGTCTTTGTGTGGATGGAAGTGTCTGCAACATGAGGGTTAAATGTATGACATTCATCTTCCATTCTCTGTGTCAACAATTCCACATCCCAAACAACCTGAGTTATTCACTGTATTCGAAGGAGAACGGTCGAATACAACGAGAATATGTCAACAGTTGAAGAAATAATAATACACTGGTCGCCATGCCTTTTGGAAGTGGACCGCCTCCGCCTCCGTGGTTAGAGCGTCCGCCCGGAGAGCGGAAGGTCGCGGGTTCGATCCCCGACCGCGTCATACCAAAAGACGTTAAAATATGGTACTTGTTGGTCCCTGCCTGGCGCTCGGCATTAATGGGTACAACAAGGACTGGTCGGCTCGGAGTCAGTATAATGTGTCTGAGTTGGGTATTCATGTTTCACTGCGGCATGGTATCTCAGAGGGCTAGCACTATAAAACCAGCTTAAGTCTGGGCTAGTACAAGCAGCCGCACATACACATACACACGCATACACGTCGTCATATGAGCGAAATATTCTCAAGCACGACGTTAAACCCAATTTCACCTCACCTCACCTTTTGGGAAAGAACACACTTTCCTACTGATAGTAAACAATATATGTTATG